GTTCCCTTACAATGAAGAGGAGGAAGCGCCTGGGGCGGGGTGTGTGTGACATCCCTATTAATGCCTTCCTTCCAGAGGAAAGAAGAATGAAGGACCTGGGGTGAGAAGATGGAGCACTGGCCTGAGAGCATTTCTCTTCCCTGACCATCTCGCCCATCTCCAGTTAGAGACCCCCTCCGCTTAGTTCGCGTTCCTTTATCCTTTCTGCACCCGTGTTCTTTCCCCTATCAAAAATGCCCCGTTCAGGCTATCCTTTCTCCTTTTCCTTCAGAGACAGCTATGTGCTTTTAGTTTGGATTCGTCCAAATCAAAACCTTTGCATTCTAGCATTCTCGTGCCAGATTTCTCTCCTGCACATACCCACATGCTTCCTTCCAGTTGCCCTCTTACATACACAGGCTCCCACACAAGAGCTTGGACTGGACTTTCCCTGCACACTACAGCTTAAAACAGACTTTGGAAGAAATGCTAACAAAGGACAGGGAGGAAATTCAATCTTTTCCACGTGGTTATATGTGTCATTCCTGAAAAGCCAGTGTTATGCAGAGTTCAGAATCAGTAACTATATTTCACCTAGAATATATTTCTCACACCTCATAGTGTTTCTTCAAAGCAGTGGATTTAGGCTTTTTTTCTTTTGAGACTTTAATGAAGAATAGGAGATGGAGTATTCCTCCTCCTTTCATAATACCTCTATTAATACCTAAATGGGTATCTTTAGTATTTGATTCATAAATGCCAACATTGTTAGTTTCATTGTAAGAGTGTGTAGGCCAAGTTTTCCATTTCCTATCAAGAAAGATCTGTGGCTAGTAATGGACAGGAATAAATTTTGCTTGGAGTAAAAAGGACCCATGGAGCATTCTAGTCAAGGGTACAACCCTCACGAATTTAACAGATATGCATGTGGACCATACTAAATACTATATGTAAGAATTAGGAAATGGAATAGAGTGGTAGAGGAGGAAGCCACCTCCAGGAAATCAACTGGAGGTTTTTGGGGTTTTTTACAACAAATATTGAGTAAGCCAGTCTTCCGTTATAAAGCAGGACATGTGCTTTGAAGTCTCTACAGGCATGGATGTATCATTCTGAAAAATCAACAGACACTGATGCTAGTGTACCAAAGACACACAACAATAATATAGAGCTAATTTGACTGGAAAGGGAAATGAAAGCCAAGATACTGTCTGCTTCTTAAAAGTATGTTTAGACAAAATAGCAGGCTAAGTGTATATGTGTGTGCCTTTATCTAGCGTTCCCTAAACATGACTTCCTTAATGAGGACAGGTTGTATATTTCAGCGCAAAGCTTATTTTTAAACCATTGTCACTCCTTTTAGCTTGTCTATTGAATATGCAAGGCAAAAGAGCCCTTTAAAGGAGAAAAGTGAGGAGATGAAGAACTACTCATTAATAAAAATGGGGGCCCATTGTCAGTGTAATGATTCAGGGGAGCACAGTACCATAGGGCTGTAAATGCTGCAAGAAAAAACGAGATAGGTCTGGTGCAACTGCAACATTTCTGAGAACGTTGCTTGCATATACTGAGATTAGTTGCAGGCCCTAAGAGAAAACACTATTTTCTGCCTGCAAGCCATGACAAATAATGCTTTCTGCCTACCTGGCTTGAAGTCCACTCATTTTGTATGTATGGGATGGGGGGGAAGAAAGATCATCTATCTGTATTGATGGCTCTTTAAGCTTTTTAATTATAGTTTCTTGTAAAGAAACAGTTTGACCTTCCGCTGCTCAGCTGAAATAACAAATCAAGGGGATTGCTGTAGCACAAGCGAACAGTAACTTAGGAGGCCCTTGGGAAAGACATCGTCATAAACCGGGCTATGGAGCGGCATGAGTTGCAGGCCTGCAGGTAAGGCAAGGTTTCTGCAGGTTCTCGGCCTGCCCCTCTGAACCCCTCTAGCACTTGCACTGGGGCACAAAAATATCCATGGGCACCAGAGGTGAAGGCGGCTCTTCATTGCGGGCTGCAACGCATACTTTGAATGCCTCCAGGACGGGTGCTCATTTAAGAGTCCTCTGCTAAGAGGAAAGCTTCCCTGTATGTAAATATGGATTATTCCAAAGAAAATGCGTTTTAATACCTTTCTTTGACAGGCTTCATTTTTGAAAATTGGGGCTGGTAGGGGGTGCGCATGCACTCCGCACAGGCAGCTCCGCCATTTTCTCCCCACACTTGTAGCTTTCGCAGGCCTCGCTGTTGAGCGCAAGGCATACAGCTTGGAGATTTTAACATAATCCTCCCAACTCTGGGACTGGATTAAAGTATTTGCAAAATTCTCGCTGGAGAAGGAAAGAGGAAGATTTAGCTTGCCAGCGTTGGTGCTATAAATTACACGTTAAAACAGATCTTTCTTAACTGCACCCTAAAAGCCACCTTATTGTCCCTGACCTGTTCTAATAGGAAAGAGAGGCTTTTGCTTTCCAGTCTTTACCTGTATCACATTATTGTGAATCAGCGTCTTTGTCTCTTACTTTCTCCCCCTCCTCGCCCCTTCTCTTTTTTCCCCTCACTTCCTTCTCCAGAAACCCACTGCGATCTGTGCTCAGCCTCGGAAATGCAACATTATTAATATTGGAACAGGCAATTATTTTCTCATTTAAATCTAGAACTGTCTTCATGAATAATTTGTAGAAAGTTCTGCTGTTTCAGGACCATTTGGGATTGAGAATTTAGGGTGATCCATAGAAAATGTGACACTATCACAAGGCCTCAAGTTCCATCCATTGCTCACCCCACTTCGCTCCCTCCACCTAGTGCAAAAAGAAGTTCCCGTGAAAGTGTTCCTCGTGCGAGGCATTTTGTACAATAAGTGCCAAGCTTGTACCCTTCCCACGTGCTCACCTGGCTGCACTGATGTAGGTCAAATTTACCAAGGATCTGACCATTTTCTGCTTCATAAACTTCAAAGCAGAAGGCAGCGAAAGAGCAGTAAAAGTTTATTTACGAAAAACACTATAATTAAGAGGTGAACTATCCTTTTAAAAGGCTTCCTACCTTTAAAAGAAGTTTTGGCTGTCATGGGGATTATTGATTATTATTCTGAATAAAATAAGTCATGAAATGGCTCACACGTACAGCATTATTTTACACATGGGGGGGAGCGGGACAAGGGACAATATCAAACCAAACAATATTATATTAGTGTTAAAGAAAACTGTATTTTACAACTGTGCGTGTGCGTAGGGGGAAGTGGAATTGTTAGGCTGTAAGAAGATCTTACAACAGGATTATATCGTTTCCTTCGGGGAGTATACAGACGGGTGGGGGGGATGCGTGCGCGCAAAAACTGTACACTGGAACGGATGTAATTTTCCAAAGGGGCTTATTCCTTATCTTCTGCCCAGAGAGAGCGAGCGAGAGAAAGAGACCAGGGAGAGGGAAAGGAAAAGGCAGTAAAACAGCCTGCGAACAGCGACTGCTAAAGCGATTCACAGGTACAACTTCACAAGCTGCCTCCAGAACCGTGCAAACTTTGCAAGCTTGGTCTTACTATCGATGCTTTTGAAGCTGACTGAGGTCAAATGGAGCTGCTGCAAGGTCTTTCCCCTTCAAATAATTTGGCTTCATTTTCTTTTGGACCCGTTAACTAAAACTAACTAATGTTCCTGACACAAACTCCCTTCAGAATTCTGGTCAATGACCTTTCCAAGTGGATAGGCCAGGAACACAACATCAACTCCCCCCTCCCTCACTTCCCACACCACCACCACGACTTCCCTTTCTCCTTCTTAGGTCCTATATTTCCAAACACATCACAGTTTAAGAAGGAAAGGGCCCTTTCGAACTATAGGAAGAACTGGCATGAAGCATTGCAGGGTTCCTCGTCCAAAACAAAAAGAGGGGACCTTGCAGCTGTGCTTTTCTCACAAGGAAGGCGGTAGAAAGCAGCATCCAAGCGACATCACTCAAAACTGCCTGGACAAGTTGCAGTTTCCATTGTCCGTTCTCAGTTTGTGAGCTTGCAGCAAGGTTGGATCCCCCCCGCCCCAACCTTCTCCAGCAGGCTTTTAACCCCTCTCCCCTCAAAAAGCAGATCTGAATTGTGGAAAAGACTTTCCTTTGCTATGCATGCATCTTTTTTCCCCAAGCAGAAGACAAAGATAAAAATAAACTATTCCTCCAGTTCATAAAGTTTAGTATTAAGTAACTACTAATTACTGGCGGTAGAATTAAAAGGGGCAACAAGCACGCGCGCAGTACAGAGTTCAATGAAACAGGAACGAAGAAAGACCTTTGCATACTAACCTGTGTGCGTCCTTTTGTGGATTTTGAGATTCTCCGACCGAGCAAAGACTTTCCCGCATCCCGGGAAAGGGCAGGGGAAGGGCTTCTCGCCCGTGTGGACGCGGATGTGGTTGACCAGTTTGTATTTGGCCTTGAAAGGCTTCCCTTCCCTGGGACACTCTTCCCAGAAGCAGATGTGGTTGGACTGCTCGGGCCCCCCGACGTGCTCCACCGTGACGTGAGTCACCAGCTCGTGCATGGTGCTGAAAGTTTTCGAGCATAATTTTTTGGGAGCCTGATCCAGTTCGATCCACTTGCAGATGAGCTCCTGCTTGATGGGCTGTCTCATGTAGCGAAAGAAAGCCCCAGGGCCATGGTGTGGGGCCAAATTCACGTTCAGGTTCATGCCACCGTAGCTGTGGAAGGAGGAAGCAGCGAAAGGATCTGTCCTGGACACTGGCACTGGCGAGAAAGGCTCAGACCTGGCATACATTTCTCCAGGTAGCCCCAGTCTTATCTGTCCGTTTAGATGGCCACCTGGAGATGTGTGGGGAGGTTGCTCATGGTGCAGTCCAGTAAAAAGCGAGGGAGTCCCGGCTTCTGGGTGGTGGTGGTGGAAGTGGTGGTGGAGAGCATGGTGTCCGGGGTAGCTACCTGTTGTTGAGACAAACATTCCGTGATGAGAACTTGCAGCGGCAGCGGCAGAGTGCCGAGAAGGGAGCCCTGGCATGACTGGGACTGTCAGGTCTCTGCGCAGGAAGAGATCCCTACCTGCCGAAAGCGCCTGGCTCGGGTGAGGGACGGCATAGGGGACGCTGGTTGGATGCACCGGGCCAAAGACTCCTGTTGGACTGGAAGCCACCTCACCTTGGCCTGCCACAGGGTGGGGGGGATAAGGCGGAGGGGCAGGGCTGAGCTTAAGGGCCGCGGAGTGATGAGGAGGGTGGTGGTGGTGGTGGTGGTGATGGAGATGGTGGTGTCCCATGATTTCTGAGCGGAACGGACTCAGCCCGAGGCGGGATTCTGCAGCGCACTCCCTGGGGTGCGTGGGAGCCACAGCGTGGGGATGCCCGGCGAACCCTGTCATGCTCTGAGGGGAATGGAGGTGGCGGTGGCGGTGGCGAGGATGAGGATGAGGACGAGGACGAGGACGAGTCCCTGCTAAGCCCACTAATTGCAGCGCCGTGTTCCGCTTGGGAAGCGCAGCAGAGTCCATTACTGGGCTCCCCAAACGCCTCCAAGCTCACTTGGTTCTACAATTCTGAAAAAAAGTCACCTGACAGCAGGGAGGAGGTAGCGAGAGAGAAAGCGAGAGAGAGAGAGAGGGAGAGCGCGCGCTCTGGAAAAACTTTTCGGAAAGTTTCCCCCCCTCCCAAGGTTTTCCCCCTCCCTCTCACTTGGTCCGGACTGTTTTGTTTTGTTTTGTTTTTGCTTCTTCTTGCTTCCCTCCCTCTCTCCCCCCTTGCTTTTCTCCCCTTTCCCTTTGCTTTATTTGCGGGGGGGGGTCTTTCCTTCCTTCCTTCCTTCCTTTTTTTTAATGCCTACGTGGAATCCCATACGCTTTGAGAAGCAGCAGCGGGACGTTGGGAGGCTACTGAATAGCGCTTCACAGGCTCGGCTCCAACCCAGAGAGCTAAACAATCAGGGCCGCCGCGGATTGGCCGAGGCCGCCTGGCCGACGTCAGCGATGACAGGTCCCCGCTGAAGTCTGAAAAGATTTAGGAGGGGGGGCGCGCGGGGCGGGGAGGGAATGAAGAGGACACGGAGAGGCATCTGCGCGTGCGCGGCGCTTGTGGGTAATTTGCAAATAACCCTCCCTGCCTTCCCTTCCCCCCGCGCGCTGCCCCAGCCAGCGCGCCTCGTTCGCCTGGTGTTTGCCTTGACTCCCCGCATTTTGTTTTTATCTGCGTTTAACTGACAGATTAAGGGCGGTTGGAAAGTCTCCCAGGTACAAGCCAAAGGGTCCTCCGTGCCGTTTAAGTACTAATGAGCGGTTGTTGCCAAAGGAGGAGGGAGGCCACGAGGCGGCGGCGGCGGCGGTTCCCGGGAGTGCGGGAAGCCGAGCCTGCCGGCCTGCCGGCCGGGCGACGGCCGCCGCTTTCTCCCCCCCCCCCCCGCCCCTTGCGACAGCTCTATGGTTGTCCCGATCGGCCGCTTAGGAGAGCCAGGCGCTTTGGCCGCCCCGCTTCCCGGGCTGCTGCAGAGCCTGCGTTCTCGGCTCCCGCTCCCTGCGAGCGCCCGCACACGGCTCCCCGCCCCCCCGCTCCCCCCACCCCCCTCCTCCGCTCCCCCGCCCCTTCCTCCGCTCTCCGCGTCTCTCTTCCCACTTAGCCTCATCATGAGCAGACGATTTAATGGAGAGCTCAGATCGGTGTCTGCTTGGTGGGCGGAGTGCCTGATTGGCCCCCGCGCCGCTCATTGTGGCGCTACCAAAGTGTAGTTCGCAACTCCGTCCAGCTTCCTTCCTGCAACAGCGGCAACAAAGATGGAGAAAGCGCGGAGAGTTGCGGGAGGGGGACGGAATGGGGAGGGAAGGCAACACGTCCTACAGGCACTTTCTCAAAACTTCCGCTTTGCGGGGACGGAAAGAAAGACGGAAAGAAAGGAAAGAAACCATGGCCAGGCCAAGCCTCCGCGGAGATCCGCGGGGCAGGAGGAGAGAGAGATTGTCCCGAGAAGAATTCCCGAGACGTTGCGAGCTCTCCTCCGTCTGCATTACAATCACCCCGACTGGGAATGAAATGTTCCTAAAGGCGCCTCCTAAATTCCTGTTCCTGAGAGTCACCCATGTAGGAAGCGAGCGAGGGGGAGGGGTCGTTTGATGGTGGGGGGGGGGTTTGTTGTTGTTGTTGTTAACCATCCCCGTCTGTTGTCAGGAGGAGAACTCTCGATGCTGATCTTTACTGTATAAGGGAGGATGGCGATGAACCCAGATATGCAGAGCCTTCCTGTCTAAACACGCACGTTCATCTCGCCGCCACCTTTCACCACCACGACCTCCACCCGCGCTTCCTCACCCCCTGTCCCATCCCGCCATCAGTTTGACTGCTGATTATTTACAGCACACACAAATCTCCAGGGCCCCCGTTCCTAACAGAAAAGGGCACAATGAGGAAGAAACAGGCTTTGCATACAGAAGTCGTCCTGAGAAGCAGAGCTGGGCAAGTAGGTATTTAGATTTCTGACACTTGTTGGCGGCCCGGAGAACGGGGCCTTAAAGGGGGGACAGGGAGGGGGTTAAGCTCTTCCACAGTCCCCATTTCCCACGATTGCGCCATTTTTTAAAAAAAATGACCGAAAACTGGCAAGTAAGTGCAGAGTTATCCAAGTTAAATCTTGCAGGACATTTCAGGAACCTTACTGCAACCGGTTCATTTGTTTACCCGTCATTCTGAGGCACTGAGGACATCTGAAACATCATAGCAAATCCCTCCTCTCCGTATTCAGTAAAAAGGAATAATATTTGCAAAGCAACCTCTAGATTACCAACAAAGACTATTCCGACATGATGCTCCTGGTGAAAGGAAAGCAAACTATTTGCAAATATATGTATCTGTGATAAAAAATACATTTTGGGGATTCTTCTTTAAACCTTGAGGGCCTTTCCAAGAAAGGCTGGATACTGACTTTATTGTATTCAAAATATTTATTTCCTCTCCATTTAGTATGATGACATTAATGTCTGGCCTTTACTTTCATACCCTAAACAGTGAACATAAGTTTTTCTTTAGAGTAAGTATACTCAAGTTCTAGTGGAAGGGCTACTTTAAAAAAATCAGTTAAGGGACTACAGTTCTCAGTATATTTTTCCCTTTATTCTCACTTCTGAATAAAATCTTGTAAGGGACACTTGTTCCACTATATAACAAACACATTGATATCACATTTTGAAATCAAATGCAAATTTTATGTATACTTTTAAAATTGTTCCTCTTCCACTTTCTATTCTTAATAACTTTCAAAAGTGATGCTCTGAAAACCCAAGGACTTTATTAACCAACTTCCATTCATATCCTGAGCAGCGAATCAGTGTTATCAAAGATACAGTTCTAACACTCATGTCGAAGTAAGCCCCATTGAATTCAACAAGGTTAGGTTAGTCTTTAATCTCAGATTCAAGTACTTTGAGTTATCATGCAACCTATTAATACCACTGTCCTATATTTCTCATGAGTAAGTTCTATTGCCTTTAATGGGATTTACTATCAGGTGAGTATTTATAGGACTACAACCTCCTGATTAGGTTCACCAAATAAGGAAATATCTATTCACATATTAAAGAAGAACATTTTTAAATGCAAAGGAAAAGGGCAATTGGGGTGAGGGAAGAATTCCAAGGGAAATGAGGATTCAAGTATAAATATTTTTCTTGCAGATCATCTTAAAATTCAGATCCTATCATATAGTAAACACATTATTCCAAACCACACAACATGGAAAGCCTTTCAACCACAAAAGCCCAAATCAAATAATACTTTCATTTTTTTAAGGTAAGCAACATTTAATAATATGTGAAAGAGTTACCAGTCATTGAACTGGAAACATTTTTCTTAAGTATCCCTAGAGACAGAACTAGGCAAAACTCCCACAATTTCCAGGGCTATTCTAAAACTGATAAGAGAATTTTTGCTTTTGGTTACAAGAGACCTTAATCATTCTCAAGGAAAGCCATTATCAGTTTTAGGTTAAGCAGTAAAATCAAGGAAGCTCTGCCATTTTAAAACATTTTTAATTGCTAATTCTTTCATAGAACGCCTAGCTAAAGGCTTGACATTGTGAGTTTAAAATAGAGGACACACTCAAATATTTCTCTGTAGCATTTCTTTACATTTTATAATATAACAGGAGTTCTATTCTTGTTTTGACTATTTTTGTACAGGTTGTAATACCAAGAATAAAAAAGACAACTAAATCAATTATTGTTAGAACGCAATACAGATATACACACTTTTATGCCCTGAGGACCTGAAAAATTGCACATGCTGTAATTAGCTAACTATCCTTACATAACATGTTTGCGTAGACAACTTAAAACCCCCAGCCGTTCAAGACAACCTTCCCTTGTCATTCTGTTTGCCCTGAGCCAAAAACATTTCACGTTTTTCCTTCCCCATCCCTGACCGCCTCCGAAGGAGATCACAAAAAAGAAAGACACATTATAGGAAGCAGGACTCTGGTAGGCTGTTACTTACAACGGTACTGAGAGTGTGACTTCCAAATAAAGCTGTTTTCCTCATCCCTCCTTACAACCACTTCATCTCTACACACTTGACATCCTTCAATCCTGACAGTCCTCAGTCAAGGGAGAAAACATCTGGAACAGTTTATCAATTAAAAAAAATACGTATGTTACCATCGGCTGGCTTAGGCCATTCTAAAATATTGGCATGGCTTCTTGTCAAACGCTAATGGCTTTATCCGCTCTTACTTAAAACCCTGAGGTTCCTCACAGGGGTTTCCCCCCCCCACTCCCCCCGCTCCTTGCATGAATCCAATGGAAAAGAAATGGCCCATGGTGTCTCTCTCATTATATTAGGTGAAGTTAGTGCTCTCTTTCCTAGCATTTGTTGTGTACCTTGGGAGACATATCTGTGCGTGTGTGCGCTTCTGTGTGTGTGTGTGTAGAGGAAAGCAAAAGAGAGAGAGAAGGAGGTGGTGATATTAGATGGAGGTGTACACATGACCAGAAGGAGGAGAAAACAGAAAGAGGAGGACTTGAACAAAGTTCTACATTTATTCAGGAAATCTATAGGGAAAGCTGCTGGTACCTGTATGGTGGGCACTTTCCATTGATCTCCTAGGGGTGCGTGTGTGTGTCTTTAATTTATTCAACCACTTTGCCAGCAAAACTGGGTTCTACACTGAGTAAATGAAACAGCAGAAAGAGCAGAGCAGCTCACCGTTCCACGCGTAAACAAATCTAAATGGCAGGGACATTCAGCCGTATATTTTAAAACTGTCATGACCCTCACGCAGGAATTCCTCTTCTAATATAAATATTGGAGCTGAGGACCTTGATGACAAGGAGAGCCAGACTTTCCAAGAATGACGCCCAGCTCCGTTTGCACGGCCACCAGCCAGGAGCAGAACCTCAGCCCCCACGAAGGCAAAGGGGGCTCTTTCGCGGCTCCCTTCCCCGGGTTTGGTCTCATTTCCTCCCCACCCCAGGGCCGCAGCCGCACAAGGCAACTGGGAGGATCACTTTCGCCTCTGGCCGCTGAGCGT